TAATGACTAAAGCAAAGGCTTAATGACCAATTCCTGAAGACAAATAAGATCCTAGTAGGGAGTTATTGAATTTTTATTTCCGTTGCTGTCATAGAATACCCCATGGTTCAAAGGGGAAAGGGCTGACTTGTTATGAGCTCTCAGTTCCAGGTTATAGTTCACAGCACAGAGGTCACGGAAGCAGGAGCCTGAGAGAGTTGGTCACATCATGTCCCTAACTCGGAACAGAAAGTGATGATGCATATATGCTTTATCCTCATCAGGGCCTACTGTCCACACTTAGAGTGGGTTATCCCACCTCAGTTGGCCCAGTCAAGTAAATCTGTCAGATCCCAACCCAATTAAGACAACTTCTCATTGAGATTCTCTTTCAGGGATTTTTATATTGTGCTAAGCTATCAATCAAAACTAAGCATTGTAGGGTTGAGTAGAGGGATAGTCTCACAGTACCATTTCATGCAGTACGTCAATTGGCTCTTGAATTCAGAAAAAAAACAAAAGCCAGAAACCCATGCAAATGCTTGGAAAACATTACAGCAATCTAATAATCAGTTCCTATATGGAAGTGGGCATTGATATTACTCATGTATCAACTCCATACTTTCCTTGTGGTCATCGTTTGTCTTTATGCTCAATCAGAAGTATAGAAGGTCAGAAGAATGTATTGTATATGCCCATTGACTGAAGAATGGATAGGAAAATGTGGTACATTTATGGAATGGAGTACTACACAGCAGAAAAGGAAATGACGCCTTGAAATTTGCAGGCAAATGGATGGATCTAGAAAACATCACATTGAGTGAGGTAACTCAGACCTAGGAAGACAAATATCTTATGTACTCACTCATAAAGTGTCTTATAGACATAAACCAAAGAAAACCAGCCTACAATTCACAATCCCAGAGAACCTAGACAACAATGAGGGCCCTAAGAGAGACATACATGGATATAATCTACATGGGAAGTAGAAAAAGACAAGATTTCCTGAGTAAATTAGAAGCTTGGGGACCATGGGAGAGGACTGAAGGGGAGGGGAGCAGAGAAAAATGCTTAGCTCAATAAAAATCAATTAAAAAAAAAAAAGACTGAAAAAAAGACCAAAAAATTTTCAGTTTATTTAGGAAATAACTCAAAATGCTATTTTGACAGTCTTATTGGAATAATCATTTTTTAAATACGCATGCCACTTATCTAGTAGTTTTAGTCCTCTAGTTAAGTAATGTCAAATAATTTTTGCTTTAAGAGGAAGTCATACCTAACTTGTGTTTAATGGCTTCCCTTTTAAGTACACTGACAAAAAAAGAAAATTTCTGAAATCTTTATATTAGTTCAGAACTAAATATTTTTAGGTTAAATAAATCTGTGGGACACAGTTAAGGAAAGTAGAGATATAAAAGGTAAATACACTTTAGTTGGCCTTCACGTGTTAGGTTATGCCTCCAAGACTTATAACAAAAGTAAAATAGACATGACAAAAAAGCTAAACTTAAATGTGAAATGTATTGGTTAAATACCTCCCAACTTTTCTTCCAGAAAATGCATAGCAAATGCTTAAAAAATGTCAGTTCTATCAGACATCTTACTATGACTAAAATTAAAAGTATTTAAATAAACTTGGCAAAACCAGCCATGTGCATGATCTCTCCTGTGTATTTGGAGGAACAGGCTGCTAATGGAACGTCTCTGGGCTTGTGAACCCCCAAAACAACCATAGGCCAGGTGGAAGCCATTCATTATGGTGTCTGAACAGACAGCTGAACACCCTCTGTACACCGTAAATGCAGGAACTGCACATTCAAGACGGCATTAAACTCATAGGCTGACATATTAGCTAGAGTTTTCAGTCCCTTGCTTTAGCTGTAAAATTCTGCCAGTTTTTGTTGCTGCAGAATATAGTAGATTGTTTATGGATTTGTAATTTTGGAGACAAACCAAGGAAAAATGGCAATAAAAAAGGCAAAAACATGTGCAGTCACTGAGGTTATTGCTGTATTTTAAAATTACAATCTTATGGAGAGTTACAACAGAAGCAAGAGGAAAATAAATGAAAAAAATGGAATAATCAAATTATTGTTTTCCACAGAAACATAGCCCAGATAGCTATGGGTCAGCTCACTTGCATGGAACATATTGAAGAAGCTACAAAGGGTGCTCAGAAAGATGCAAGTTATTATTATTAACTGGAACTAAATTTATCAACAGAACCCTCTGATAATGCTTGGTAATTTATAGCTAATAGTTTACTGGTGAAAATACATCTTCCAGAACAACCAAATCAGCTTAGATTACATCTAAGTTCCCTTAGAATGAAAAATCCCAAATGAAATTAATTTCTAAATTTGTAATTGGGAAAGCAGTTTGGGTGTAGGAGTCCAGTCCAAACATACAGTGGCCCTGGTTGCTCAGGAAGTACCAGACATCTCTCCCGTGATGTCTAAGAGCCTTGTGGCGTCCCAGTAGCAAGTATAAGAGTCTTTACTCACAGTTGTCTCAGACAGCTTTCCCATCCATCCACAGAAAAGCACATTCCTGGACATGAGCACAAGCCATCTCAATCCCAGAGATTCTCAGAGCAAAAACTTGAGAAAGGACACATGACCTAAAAAATCACTAAATTTTCTTAAGAAGTAAAATCAAGGCAATAGCATGGAACTAGATAGTAGATGATAAGATGAAATCTTTATGACTTACTGCCTGTGACTACTCCAGTTTAAAGTGGCCCCCACCCAGTTTGTGTGTTGTCTGGGTATATGTGTGAATGTGAGTATGTGAGTGGGTTTGGCATGGGCACTTTTGTGTATAAGGGGATACGCATGCCTGTGAGAGCATGTGGGGACGAAAAGCACAGAGAAGATTGTTTGGTGTCCTACGCTGGTGCTCTATACCTTATACCCTTGCTGGACTCTTTCACTGAAGCTGCAGCTAGGCTGGTAACCCCAAAACCATAGCAATCCTCCCTTGCTTGTGCCTCTCTCCATCCCCCATAGTGCTGGGGTTACAGGAGCTCAACCAACCCTGGCTTTTTATGATTTTTCTTTAAAAAAAACTCAGGCCCTCATTCTTTTGCTCTTACCCACCAAGCCACCTCCCTCACTCCAAGGATGTCTTCTTTTCTGATGTTTTGTCTTCTCTCACCTCGTAATGAAACTGCTAGGATACTATTTCACAGCTGTCTGCTGGGGCTAATGGTCTTTTTAGCTCATGCAATGGACACATAGTTTCGCTCTCATGCTAAGAAGTGTCTGGAAGTCACTATTGATGGGAAGAAAAGTCATGACAAGGAGAAAGTCATTGCTAGGCACTTTTTATGACCAGCAGCGTGTAAAGGACGTGAAATGAGAAATAACCATGAATGGCTGGCTTCATTCTAACACTGCTAAGTGTTAGGGATATGTTCATTTGAATTAATGACTATGGATTTCAAAGATTCCCCCCTCCCCAATTCTGCATCACAGCCACGGATTATGATTTCTGAAAGAAATCATAATATGGTAAATATGTGGTTTACAAAATATAGATCTTAATGCAAGTAGAATTTTAGATATATATATTAAGATAAGAATTTTTATACCAATTTAAGGCAGGCAAAAACAGGCTTTGCAGTTAAAAGTTACATAAATTTGTAGACAACTTCGTTTCCTTAGCTACAGGGGAGGAAGTGACATCCATCCCTCTTACCTGCTAGTTGACTTACTTGGGTGTAATAGCTATAAAATGCTATATGTGATGCACCTGTTGCTATTGACATCATTTTTAAAGCCATCTCAAAGAGTCAATGTAACCTTACTAACGGTACATCTATGCCGTTTTTGTTTTGCTTTGTTTGGTTGGTTGGCTTTGTTGTTGTTGTTGGTGGTGGTGGTGGTGGTGGTGGTGGTGGTGGTTTTTCTTGAGGCATGATTTCTCTGCGTCACTCTGGCTGTCCTAGAACTCACTGTGTAGACCAGGCAAACCTCAAACTGACAGAGATCCACCAGAAACCTCTGCCTCCTGAATGCTGCGATTCAAGGCATAAGTCACCACTGTCATGCCCATGTCATGTTTTAAAATGATAAATATTGCATAAAATGTGTTTTCATAAGCCTCAGCAAAATGGCACTTACAAATTTTAATAAAATCATAAAAAACAGGAAAATACTCATCACAAAAACTTTATTATCCAGAATTACCAGAATGTAAATTATTCAGACTTTGATGTTCAAGTTTAGGGCTCCTTATGTATGTTTTGCTTTGTGACTAAAAATCTATTCTGATCATGACCATGAGGAAGAGACACCCCAGTTCATGTGCGACACTGTGGAACATGTATTAAAGTTTAATAAATAAGAGACCTATGAGAAGGCAGATGCTTCGGGGACATCATAACAGCACGTGTTTGATGCTCCACTGCAATCCAATTTTGAAGTGGCTCTCTCCCAAGGGTGCTCCTATCCTCCACCCCAGATTGTTAGAAGTGTGGTTTCCGAATAAAAATAAATCCGGCGCTATCTTCGACCTCCGTCTAAACTGTCTCTTAAAACTAGTGTTCTCCTCTTAGACCTGGGACCAGACTGTATTGATTCTCCATAGACTGGGAACCTACATAATAGGGAAGAACGTTCTTGACAGAACTGGAGTTTGAGCCTCTAGGGGAAAAAAAATGATAAAAAGAAATGACACACTTCGGTCAGCACTGCTCCGTGATTCTTGCTGTTTCAAAGCTATGAAAAACAAAGAGCGCTTTTAAGTTTATAGCCCTACTCCAACAGTGAGACTTGAAAAGCTTTGAGAAAGTGAAGAAACCAATAAGCAGTTTAGACAGAGAGAGATTAAGAGGAGAGGGAATGGGGCAGGAGGGGAGGGTGAGAGAGGACGAGAGAGAGAGAGAGAGAGAGAGAGAGAGAGAGAGAGAGAGAGAGAGAGAGAGAGAGAGAGAGAGAGAGAGAGAGCGAGAGAGAGAGAGAGAGAGAGAGAGAGAGAGAGAGAGAGAGAGACCGAGAACCCCAGATTGGACAACTCACTTGGCATTGCCTGCCCCCGGCTTCTTTCTCCGGAAAATGTTGAGGAAGGTGTTGGAGCGGCATGGTAGCTTGCCATCACCAACGTGCATGCGTACTACGTCAGAGGTGGTGAAGGCACTACGGACATTCCTCTCGGGCTTGGCAATAATGATGTACATCTTGGGAGTGAACATGCACCCCAGGGCCACCGTCACACTGAGGCTCACTGCGAAGCAAGTCGTGATGATCTTGTAGTTGCTCCCAAAGTAAATGGGCACGAAAGCCAGCCAGATGATGCAGGTAGTGTACATGGTGAAGGCGATGTATTTAGCCTCATTGAAGTTGGCGGGCACATTGCGGGTCTTGAAGGCATAGTAGGTACAGCTCATGATGAGGAGTCCATTGTAGCCCAAAGGGGCCACTACACCCAGGTTGCTGGTATTGCATATCAGGTAGACTTCCTTGATACTCGGGTAGGACAAAATGGGCATGGGAGGCTCCATGATGATCAAGGTCACCACTAGGGTCAGCTGGACACTAATCAGGATGGAGGCGATGATCACCTGGGCCCAAGCGCTCATGAACCGAGGCTTCCGGGTGCAGATCTTCTTCTTGCTGCCGGCCAAGATCCGTGCAATGCGATTGGTTTTGGTCACCAAGGCAGAGTAGCACATGGCTGAAGAGAGGCCCACCAGGAGGCGCTGGAGGTAGCAGGATGTGGTGGTAGGTTTGGCGATAAGGGTGAAAGGGCACACATAGCCGAGGAAGATGCCAGCCAGAATGATATAGCAGAGCTCTCTGCTGGAGGACTTGACCACAGGTGTGTCCCGGTACAGCACAAAGATGAGGGTGACAAACAGAGTCACGAGGATGCCCAGGCAAGAAAAGGCGATGGCTATGATAGATTCGATGTCACTCCACTCGAGGTAACGGACAGGAATGGGCTCACAGCCTGCAAGGAGAAAAATGATTTTAGTCTGAGTCTCAGATTTCTGTTGAGCGTTTTCACTGGTGCTTGCCAGTTATTGGAGGCATAACCAGTCACGTCTGATGTGGGAGTGATTTCTTATTAATAAAGAAACTGCCTAAGCCCCTTGATAGGCCAACCCTTAGGTGGGTGGAGAAAACAGAACAGGATTGTGGGAGAAAGAAGCTTAGTAGGGAGTCGCCATGATTCTCCCATCGCCATGATTCTCCCGGGCCAGACAGACTCAGGTTAAGATCCTTCCTGGTAAGCCAGCTCGTGGGCTACACAGAATATTAGAAATGGGTTAGAACAATATGTAAGAGCTAGCCAATAAGAAGCTGGAACTAGCCGGGCCAGGCAGTGTTTGAAAGAATACAGTTTCCGTGTAATTATTTCGGGGCATAAGCTAGCCATGTGGGCAGCCAGGTGCCGGGGACGGAGCCCCCGCTGCTCCTATTTCAACAGATGGCGCCCAGACGTGATGGGCTAAATCCACTTAAAAACCTGAGAAGGTTTAAAAATAAGGGAGAGAGAGTTTAACAGAGATTTTTGCTGTTTGCTGGTGGCGTGCTGTAGAGAAATTTCCTGATTCAGCAACAGCAGCAGAAAAAAAAAAAAAAAGCTGCGTCATTTTAAAGCTGCGGCTTCCTGGGGCTGTGCTGCCAGCGTGAACTCTGGCTTTAAAGCATTTCAAGGCTTTTATGGGACTGGATGTTTGTGTTCCTGCTTGGGATCGGAGGAGAGTGCTCTGAGACCGTGCAGATGGCTCAGCGCTCCCGCCTGCACCTGAGCAGAAGGCCAAATCGGGCTTAGGCAGGCTGAAGAGCATGGCGGATTCCTGCCGCCATACAGAGACGCGTTTTCAGTCTGCGCAGTGCTCTGCGTGTCAGATTTGGCTGTAACTTGGATGAAAAGAGTTTCTGTGCTGCACGCTCAGTCTCAGAATTAAACTGCTGATTGTGGCTCCAATGTGGACTGCTGTGTGCCTGGAACTGTGAATGGTTCAGGGGCACCAAATGGATCTGAGGCAGGAGTGGCTGCTCCATGCTGAACTGTGCTGGTCTCAAGCAGGAACTACCGTAATTACTGTGATAACAGGGCAGTTAAGGTTTATCTGGGCAGGACCCAGGCAGTACCGTATTACCTGTACATGGTGCAACTTAAGTTTTTTAAGAAATGCTTAACATTTTAAGAAATGCTCCGGGATAGTGAAAAAATTACAGATTGACAGTAAAACAGATGTCTTTAAAGAGACAGAGTAAAGAAAAATAAGCCACGTAAAAATGGAAAATTCACAGAGAGTCTGGATTCTTTGTATTATTGTGTTTTCTTTAAAATTTTTGACTGTGAAGGAGCTAAGTACAGAGAGACATTTCATTACATGGGCTGCCAAGCTAAACCAAAATGGATTTCATGAGGGTATTATGACTTCAGAATTTGGGTCTAAGGATATGATGCTTTGGAAAAGTCCTTCTTTTGTTTTCACAGAGGATGTGACCCTGTGGATTGCATCTATTCCGATTTGGTATGATAGACCACGCCCTCCTGAAAGGTTGCTGTGAACACCCTCAAAAAATTACTTCACTCAACTGCCAACTGAGATAAACCTGGCACACAGGTTACACCCTAAATGATCTGATTAACAGCGCCCCCATTCAACAGGAAGCAGTTTGGAGAGAAAAAAACTACGCCCATGTTCCCAAATATGGTCTATAAACGTTCTTTTACATTTAAAGGGGGATATGATATAGATATGAATAATTTGCATTGGTATGGATTTTATGGTCACTTTTGTTATATGTATTTCTGATCTTGATTAAGGTATTGTAATTGTGTAGTCCATTTAAAATGTAATGTATAATTAGGAAATATAGGTTGTTAATGGATAATCAATAGTCAAACTTGTAGTCATGTTAGTTAGATTTTCTAGATATATAGAGATATATTTCAGTTAGATAGGCATTCTTCATATCTTTCAAAGACTGCAGAATATGGCATTTTTAATGTTTTAATAATTTAGGGCTTTTCATGACAATGAGACACATCTGCTCCTGGCAGCACCAGCTACTTCAAGAGGAAGATGGGCATCGAAGAGGATCCTTATGGAGTTTGATAGCCATTTGGGCAAGAAACTGTTCTTGCCTGGACTGTTGCATAAACTGGACACAAAGAACCCGCAGAGAGAGGACTATTGAACTTGCCTAAAGGTGAGATGGTCTTTCGGGGTTCCTGATTCATGAAAGAGTCTGCAAGACATTCTGCAGGACACAGCAGAAAATGACTGGACTGTCTTTGAAATTTCCTGCTTCATGGAAATGTCTCTGGATACCATGGGCCTGAAGGCTGAAGATGGATGCCCCAACGGTACAGAGGAACTTTGGGTGACTGTCCAGGCTGCGAGATGTCTCTGTCATTTCTAGAGTTTTCTTATTTCTTGTTTACTTAGGTAGTAGTATATCCTTCTGGAGTCTTTGATGGAGTTGAAGAATGAATACATAGTTATAGTTTTCCTTAGTTATGATAAAAGATAAAAATAGATGTATTGTAACTGTAATTCTTGCTTGATAACTGTTTTGCTATATGTAATTTTACTATGTTAAAATGAAAGCCTTTCTTTTTTGTTTAAACAGAAAAAGGGGAAATGATGTGGGAGTGATTTCTTATTAATAAAGAAACTGCCTAAGCCCCTTGATAGGCCAACCCTTAGGTGGGTGGAGAAAACAGAACAGGATTGTGGGAGAAAGAAGCTTAGTAGGGAGTCGCCATGATTCTCCCGCGCCAGACAGACTCAGGTTAAGATCCTCCCTGGTAAGCCAGCTCGTGGGCTACACAGAATATTAGAAATGGGTTAGAACAATATGTACGAGCTAGCCAATAAGAAGCTGGAACTAGCCGGACCAGGCAGTGTTTGAAAGAATACAGTTTCCGTGTAATTATTTCGGGGCATAAGCTAGCCATGTGGGCGGCCGGGTGCCGGGGACGGAGCCCCCGCCGCTCCTATCTCAACACACGTCATTCACGGTATGTGCTGGTATGCCTCCATGTTACTCAGACCTACTCTGTTGTCTTCCCTGGATAACCATATCTCCAAACTTAATCTCATTACAGTCTGATGTGACTTCCTTCTACTTGCAACGTATCTTTTCCTTCAGCTCCAGCATTATAAGTGATTGTCACCGCCTTGGTGAAGTTTAATTCTATTTAAAAAAAAAAAAAAAAGGAAACAAAAATAACACGGGGATAACCAAAAGGAATATACTAATAAGAAAGAAATGAAGAATTATTTTTGTTATGCAACCCTTATACATAAGCTCAAGAGACTCATAGACAAATTTTAGCTAGCAGAGTATTATATCTGCATGTGTATGTGAGTATGTATTTATTTGAATGTTGTCGATTCAATAAATGTCACATTTCCTTGTTTACCACACCATTTTGTATTACTTAAACACCCATGTGTTCTCCAAGTCTGTCAGCTGGACTTTTGCGTTAATAGCCCCCAACAGACAAGCCAAAGAATGAAATCTCTCTCCATTCATCTCTGTGGGCATGTGTCTCTAAGGAATTGCTCAGGAGACAACTTCTTCACAAGAATCCATGTTTAATCTAGACCAGTATTTTACCAAACTGTGATAGTAAAATTATTTTAATGACTCTAGAGAGAGAGAGAGTCTCTGTTCTATAGCCCTACAAGGGAAACCCCCCAAGGGACCAGAAAAATCAGTTTTACCTCTGTTCAGTCCTTCAGCACCAACCCACCTCAATGGACATGATTTTGTCCACCAACTATTGAGTGTCAGCCTTTACTTCTGATGATCTGGGAAATGCTCACACCAACACAGGAGTGTCAATCAGTCAACCACAGTCTCACACAAATTTCTACTTCAATAGATGTTGTCAACCAGTTTATGTTCTGGAAATTCATCAGTCCCTAAACACACTTCCTAAGAGCTCACAGAACATGTCATGGTATCTGCTCAGGGGAAATTTATCCCTCAGAGGTAGCCACCTTTTGTAGTAAGTAGTCAGCAGGAAATTAGTTAGCTTTTGTGCTCTTTCTGACTTTTCATTCTTCTAATTCACATATAGTTGGTTCTCAGTATCCACGAGTAATTGACTTCTTTCCCAAACTGATACCAAAGCATAGAAAATATTCAAGTCACTTATCTGAGATGACATTTGCATACAACTATTTGGTCCTAGTACCTGCCAGTGGTACTAAATACGTGGAGACTCTAGTGCCTTCCTGAGGATGGATAATATTTGTATGTAATCTGCAGACCCCCCATGTGCTTTAAATCATGTCTAGATTACTTATAATACCAAAATGCAATATAAATTCTATGTAAGTAGTTATTGTGTTATATTGTTTTTAAAAATGAGGTAAATTCCTGTATCTGTTTATGATTTATAGCCACTGTAGTCCTATAGAACTGATTCCTGCAACCATCATAGAGCTTACAGTATACTAGTCATGATGAAATATCTTTGCCTTTTGCTTTTCCCCCAAAGAATGTGGGATTTAAGAGGTAGAACTGCTAGACAATGATGATTGTCTGTCTATCTTTGGTCTTTCCATTACTCATGTTTCTAGAAATTTCATTGAGATCATTTTGAAGGTGTTAATTTGCCAAATATTGGAGGTCCTGTGACCAATAGGTTCACTCACTGAGTCGCTTCTTGGCCTTAGATTCATCAGATTTTTCAACCTCCAGTGACAGCTCAAAGGCTCAAGCTGCTATTCTCACATACTACATGTGAGGCAGACCCAACACTGTTCTAAGTAGGAAACGTTTCTTCTAAGATTTTGTTGCTATCTTTATTTCATATTCCTCGAATACATGATTTGTGTATCTTTGTAGAAGATCTAAGCTTAGTGTTCAAATAAAGCAAGTGTATCTAATTTTATATTAAGTATTTCAAAATTTGGTTTTAGAGCACACCATTTTTGTAATTAGACATAAGGGTTCTTAAGAGTCAACAAA